CATGATGACTTTTAATTTTTCAAAAAATATAGAAAATTAAATCAATTTTTTTATACTTTTCAAATTCTCAAATTTATAATTACTAAGAAAAAAGTACTTTAAATTTGATTAGAACTGCGATGAGAAATTTCAATTTGAAAAAAGAGTATATGGCAGAATTTTGTTTACTGATCTCAATATGATGATGACTTTTGAAGAGGAGTGTAGATATATTAAAAAGTTACTTGTTATTATTTTTAGATGACTTGAATAATTCAGAAAACTATTTATTTCAAGAAGATAATGCATCTACTATATATACACACTGCAAGAGTAGTTAAAAGTTGAAAAGAAAAAAATGAGATTGATAGTATTTTATGGCCTGTACAAAGCCTAGATCTGAACCTAATTGAAAATTTGTGGCTAGTGAGGCGAGTATGGCACACACCCATTATCAAAAAATAGGGAGGATTTATAGGAAATACTTCAAGAAGAAGGGTTAAATTTAGTTATTGATAAATATCAAAATCTTGTTAATAGCATATCCCTTCAAGTTGCTGCTGTTATAAAAGCAAAGGTCATTCAAAAAAGTATTAGTTAAAAGTTGTAGTCTTTAACTTTTAAATAAAAATATTTATTAAATTTAGTGCAGTAATTATCATGTTCTTTGAATTTAAAACTTTGCATTAAAATCGTTAGGTATCACGTGGTCGGAGACTTATTTCCACGTACTTAAAAAGTACATAACCAACATTTGTAATACAGTTTTAATGAGAAAATGCCATGAATTTAATATTCCTGCTTATGCATGATATATTACAAATGTGAATTGCATATGTCGGTAGATTCAAAATTAACTTAGTTTGGTTTTAGAATTTATTTGCCAGACTATCTTATCTCTAATGCTAGCCATACTCTTACTCTAACCATGCTCATACATAGGCATTGTTCCCACTTGCAACATATATTTTTACGTCCTTATATTTTATTTATATGTATTGATCCAAATCTCGATTTGTATACTCAAACGAAAAACAAGCTATATACTGTAAGTATCTCTCATTAACAAATACTAAGAAATAATGATAAGTTTTTATTTATTATCAATCAAGATAAAAGTTTACCAAATTATTATCATAAAAAGCTAAATGATTCAGATATAGTCATTTTCACGGTTAGAATTAATTAGCTTATAGTAAATTAGCCTATAGGATAATAATTTTTCGATGAATCTACTCAGATCTCAATTTTAGTATTCTAGAAACCAGTATTTTTATCCCAGTTACTTATACCTTAATACCTTTATTTTAAATTTACACTTTATAATTTTAACAATAATAAATTAAATTTATGAGTCTAAAAAAAATCTTGAAGGCAGTCATTATTCGATTTTTGTTAGTTATAAAAACTTATATATATGTACTTTTTATTTAACAAATTCGGATCCTTAAAATTCTTTGTAATATGCGTTTAGAGAGTACGTGTTATATAGCATATAGGCCATATTATTACCACTACGTGATAATTTCATTTCATTTCGTTTCATTACATTACTTACATTTATATAAAAATAAATTATATGCATTTATGAATGGGCATTGAATATTCATCTAGATTGCAATATTGTTACCGTCCACATTCTATACCAGCCAAATTTACACGTTAATAAAGATAAACTACGCATTGTTTGAGCATAAATATTATTACTTGCAATACAATATCTATCACCTGTCAAAAGTAACGAGAATAATATATGATTTACCTATCAAAAACTTTAAAGAAAATAAAATTACATGTCAGTATATTAAAACATTAATTTAATTTAGAACATATACTGTTCGATTATTAATATTGAAACTGATTGATTAGGCATGCTGACGTTATGAAGGATACAAAAATCATTACTTCTTAATGAAAGTCAATTGTTGTGGAGTCTAGATTCAAATGAATTTTTTATTTGTATTTCCTGCAATGAACAATTATACTAGTAACTGATAAAATTATTTTACAATTTGAAATATTTCATAATTTTCAATCTCAAAAGTAATTTTTTTCGTCTCTTTTACAAAAACTACCATAATTTGGGTCAAATAACCTCAGATCATTTCCTCCAAAATCTGGTCCACAATCTTGATGACACCTTATACTAAACTGACATCATCGTTTACTTTTGATCGTAAATCCATCGGATACATTTGAATCAAATCGAAATAAAAAGCTATTTGGCGTCTCAAGGTATTTGCCGAGTGAATTCCATTCCAATGGATTTATATCCACCAATTATTTTTTAACTCGAATAGCTACAACCGTTGGACCTTTGAGTTGATGAAAATCAGAGGCGGTTAATCCATCACGACTACCTCGTAACAATAACTTTAACTTGAATGGTAAATTTATATTCGAATCTATTGCCTTTATCCATTCCTTTATTTTATTGGTTTACTCTTGGGTAAGTATTGGATTTCGACTAGGATGTTTGTTAGATATTCACTTCCTGAAACCAAGTAATGATGTAATAAATCCTTGTATAATGTGGGTGACAAGAGCTATGAATAAGGCATTACTTTATTGTAAAAATCAACATAATTTATATGGAAGATACAAATCAGCGGTAAACATTGTTTAAGTGTACATTTTAGTTGTTCAAAATCATTTTGCACCCATTTCTCTATCGGAATTGAAGAATCAAAATTTTTAGAATTGGCAGCTTGTGCTATTCCTCATTCAAGAACTTTCTCCCAAATATCGATTTCTGAGAGATTCAAATTATCCTGTTTGAGCAAAGAAACTAGAACGTTCTCTTGAAGCTTTGCAAAATCCTTTGATTGAAAAACAACGTCAGGATTTTCACATGCAATATCTGTGCAAAATTTGCAGAGTTTGGTTTGTGATTGATTAATACGGCATAATTTTCATTCATAGACCTAATATGATGCTCCAAAAGAAAGTCTTGAATATATTCAAGTAATTCGTCAATAGATAACTCATCGACAGCGATCAATACATCTAAAGGTGTTGACACTCCGTGTTCTTTTAGGTTAATCTTTCCACAGTACATATATCTAAAAAAGTCAATATTTTTATGTCTTACATAATAAAATGTCAAACATAACAATCAATAATTTATTGCTTCAACATGATGTGGTGAGAGATTTGGTTTTTTTAAACGACCATTTTACTTGGTTCTCGTTTCACCCACATGTCACATGTCAGAAAATACGACAGCAAAATATTGGGACTGCGCCATTAAAATAGAAGAATGAGCGGTAAAGGTGCGCTGTGTTTCTCCATCACCAACAATTATCGAGACATCACAAAAATTGCTTTTTTCGTAAAATTCAACCAGCTTGTTCGATTGTAAGTTTAATAATTTAGTTTCCATCTTATTTTATACAAATTTTTATTAATCTGGATACAATATCAAGCGAAGGTATAAAAAAATTCACATGTTCATGTAACATGTAAATGGGAATTTTTCACGCCAAGTCGTTGTATCGATATTTGGCATCGATAGTCCGATTACATGTACACTCCCCTGACACGGGTCATGGGACTTTTTTCCGAATATAGTAATGCTCGATTTTTTCAAGTTCGAAATTCTCGACAATCTACATAGCAATTTACGTCAGGTTTTTTTTATCGAAATGTTACATCAATGAAGTTTATTTGACTTTATCAATAAGGTGTAGGATGCCCGTTAGCTTTAACTACAGCTTGAACACGGCGCTCCATACTTTCAACCAAATTTCCATAAACTGATTCATCTATGTTAGACCATTCCTCCTGTAACAGATTGAACAGTTCAGTTTCGTTTTTTGGTAGAGGAATGCGCTTACGAATACGACGCTCTAATTCATCCCAAATATTCTCGATAAGGTTGAGGTCTGGGCTTTGCGTGGACCAGGGAAGTTGATCAATATTATTATCTGAAATCCAACGCAAAGTTGATCTTGCTCGATGAATTTGAGTGTTGTCATCTTGAAATACATAATTATTTTGATTATCCAACCCTCCTAAATAAGGTAACAAATGGTTGTTTAGAACATTGATATAGTCATTTACAGTTTGCCTACCGTTAACTTGAACTAGAGGACCCAATCCAAATGAACTAAAACATCTCCAGACAATGACCCCTTGCGACCTGATTTAAAGGTTGGAACTAAACAGTTAACATCGTATTTCTCTTCAGATTTTCTCCAAACGTAATCACGACCGTCTCCCCCAAATACTTCAAATCATGATACATCGCTCCATATGATGAATTTCCATTCCTGCTTCCAATTAATTCTTTCTCGAGACCATTCCAAACATAATTTACGATTTCTTTCATTGACAAAAGGTTTTCTCTTGCCAACTCGACCATAAAATCCTTCTTCATGCAGATAACGTTGTATAGTACGTGAGGAAACATTGATAGAAGTCAACTCGATAAATTTATTAGTTAAATTATTTAAGGAAGCTTTTTGATCTGTCTTTAATAAACGAACAAGATGACGTGTGTCTCGTTGAGTTAGTTTAGGCTTTGGTCTGGGACGTGGAGGTGGTTTTATTTCACCAGTTTTTTTATAAGCATTAATAATCCTGTAGATAGTAGATTTTTCGAATTTTAGGGTATTTATGATGGTAGGAATCGGATTCCGTACTTCCAAGCGTCAATGATCTTACTGCATTCTTTTTCTGAAAGTTTTCTTCGTTTTTTATCCATCACGAGTAAGAAAAGGATGATGGAGTGTTTCGATTACACAATAAAAAGAAGTCTTCTGAAAAAAGGGAAAAAAATTTTTGTACCACTTTATTTGTGCTAATCTGCATGCAAACCGCTTAGAAATAGTCATGGCTGATCATACTTAATTCAGAAAGTCCCATGACCCGTGTCAGGGGAGTGTACATGTATTAAAGAAAACTTGATGGGTGGTAACAGTAACACACCGTTACACTATGCACGAATACATAATTCGAGATCAAATACAGTATTTATCGCTACGTTGTTAGAATAGAATAAATAACGATAAGATTCAATTATGGAAGAATTTGTGGAAGATATAAATGAGAATTGTCCAAACTGTTTAAAACAATGGAATAAAAAGATGAAATTTTGCCTTAACTGTGATCTGCCTTCATCGTCATGGACAACTGGAAATGATGAGATTGATGAAAAAATAAAACAAGTACAATTAAATGCTTTCCTTTATACCAATACTGCTACCTGGTTTGAGTGGATTCCTTTCAGCGAATTTAGTGAAATTAAATTTATAGCTGTAGGAGGCTTTGGCAGTGTATCAAGTGCTATTTGGAATTCAGGACGTGTTTGTGGCTTTGACGAGAAGAGAAGGAAACTTATTCGAGAAGAATCAACCGTCGTTGCACTGAAAACGTTATTCGAATCAGATGTGGTTAGCTCTGATATTATTCAGGAAGTAAGCTGATTTCTATTTTGATTATTACGTTCCAGTTCGCATTTTTTTTTAAAGCTAATATAATCTTTATAATATTTGAAATTTTTTAGATTGATTCAACAATCAGAATTAAAGATTATGTTAGTTTATGTCGCACATATGGAATTTCAAGAGACCCCAAAACAAATAACTATGTTCTTGTTTTAGAACATTATGACGTGGCTTTGCATAATATAGCCAACACGGAATACTTTGATATGGAATGTCTTAGATCTTTAGCTGAGGGATTGAAATCCCTCCATTATAAAAAGCTTGTTCATCGTGATTTACATAGTGGTAATATTTTATGTGAGAAGAATAGTCCGGTCTCCTTAAACATAACTGATTTTGGAAGAAGCAAGGACATAGCAACAATTACGGGTGACGAAGAAATTTATGGTATAATTTCATACATTCCACCAGAAGTTTTACGAAAGCAAAAATATACTACAGCCAGCGATATATATTCCTTTGGAATGATTATGTGGGAAATGTGGAATGGAGAACGTCCTTTTAGTGATCGTGATCACGATATTGGACTTATATTTGACATTTGCGATGGACTTCGTCCCACTATTTCAGAAGATATGCCAAATTGGTATCGACAAGTAATGGTTCGATGTTGGGATCCTGATCCAATGAAACGACCGACCGCAGAGGAACTTGTACCAATATTTGATGACTGGGATACTACGGTTTGGAAAAAATATGAATTTAAAAAAAGTAAAAAGAGTATGGAAACAAAAAAGAAGAAAACCGAAATTCACAAAGGTGCAGTATTCAAAAGCCGATCAATCTCAAAAATCATTGAAAAAGCAGGTAAATTGATTATGAATTGCTTTAATTTTTACTTCTTGACGAAAATTAACACACACCAAATGTTGTTTTAGGAGTTGATATTACCTCTTTAAATAATAATCCAACAAAAGAATGCGATGGTATTTTGTTTATCTACTTTTTGTCTTGTTGATTTCCAATTTTATGCAACTTCAATTTACACTAAAAACATTATTTCTATTTTACATGTAGTTGCATACGTTACTCAACAATTTGATTTGACGTTATAAAAACTTTGAATGCAAGCAAGCACTGATATTGATAGATTTTGAAACCTTAAAAAAAGGTAATATGCCATTCAACTTGATAAAGTTGATATTAATAAATACAGTACTTATTTTTTTTTTGATCTAATAAATTCCATACTTGTATTTGATTCTGATAAAAGGATACATACATTAGCTTAAATTTACAGCGCTTGTAAATTCATTATTTTTAACGAATTTTTTGCGTATATATATATTGTTAGCGAACTTTGCTACTAGTCAACGTTAAATCAAAAATGATCAAATTTCTAGGCTAATGTTTACAAACATGACGGGCCAAATTATTTACCATAATAAACATATCCATTTCTTTAACTTAGTCTATATACTAAAAATGTCAACAAGAAAACTTCATACACAAAGTTTAAAATTAGTAATTTTGTGGCGAGCTACATGCACTGTCACATTGTGCATGTTATAATCACAGAGAGGTAGTGACTAAGTTTTACTTTATTTTACAATTTCACAAATTAAATATTACTTTTGACATATAAGAGTCTATTTTTACCTACCTATACGTATGAGACTGCATATTCTGAACACATATAAGAAGGATATTGATTACAAACTTGAAAAACTCATATACCAGTATTATCCATTCTATGATACTATGTTTTGTGCATAGAAATCTCTAATAATTGTGTTGTCACTCGAATGGCATTTATTTCAATGTTGATTATTTTTTAAACTTTAAAACCCAAATAATTTGTTTAATATAAATTTAAGTCTGAAGTAAGGATTTTACTGTATAAATTATATTTATCAAACCTGAATTTAAACATAGTTGGTGACAATTTTTAACAGATGAGCAAAGCTGAAATATGATTACTTACTATATTTTCTGATTTACCTGAATGGTTCCGAATGTTGGTGTTTTGCAAGTTAATTTTTATTTAATTTTGTAAATTTTATTTCTTTTTGTTTTCATTTATAAAGTGTTTAGTTTATTTGATGATATTCTCTTACGGATATTCCCGCTATTTTTGTTTGGATTAATATCTAACATCATTTGTAAGTTTATTTTCTCGTGTGCTCCTTATTTTTTTAGTTTTTGCTTATTATGTCTTTCGTTGTTCCATTAATCTCTCAAGAAATATGCATCTCCGATAGTGTTTAACATTTTGTATCGATGTTTCTTGATATCCATGTCCTACTCCTTTAGTGTTATCGCTTATATTATCTTCGAATTTATTGTCTAGGAGCGTTAGCGAGTAATTACCCTATTATTAGATTGCATAAATATAGAATTCTTATCAACTCACCTGTATAAAATGACAAGATGTCAAGCCATTAAATGATGTGCTCTAATCAATAAAAATAAAACTTCTTACTTGTAATAATTCCATTGCTTGTGAATACACCGTTATTATTTATTATTGTTATTATAAACATATATAATTTCGCATTTTTTTAATATGATTCTACTTGACGAAACCAATTCAATAATGATAGCATATTGCTAAGAAACTTTTCTTATTATACTCAAAAATCTACAGATGATATCATGTATTTGATATTTCGTCTACTCTCTGTTCTAAACAAGGAGATAAAAAAGAACAAATAAAGATTGAAATATAGATATAAAAATATTGTCCAAGTTAGCACATTTAGAATATTTGCCACATTTGACGGTTGAAATTGGACGAAAAAAGTATCGAATTCATGCCTTTGTTAAACTGGAACTGGAACATGTACCAAGATGATTTGAAGGAAAGTGATCGCTACTTTCATGCCAATTGGAAAGGAAATATTAGGCGCAACTTGAGTAATATGAGTAATAACATCCACCTGTTCCCTTTAGTAATTATGAAGAAATCACCTCAAATCTTTGCCCGTAAGAGACATTTTGAGAGAAACTGGATCAGGATGCAGAAGACGTTATTATACAAAAAATAACTATCTGCACAAAGTTTAATATGCGAAGAATTGTAATACTGCACTGTTCAATCAGATTCCACTTTTAATTGTTGCCAGCTCACATATGATTTGTACATTCTTATTTGTCTCGATTATCATGTGATCATGAACTGAAACACAAATAAAAAAGTTATATAAAATTATTATTTTTTGTTTGTTTATTTTTTTGTGTGTTGAGAAGAAATGATAACTATTAGGAAGTGAAACTTTTTGATGCGTTTAATGTTAAAAATAATAAAAATGTTACAAGTGAAGATATTGTATTAGTGCAGTTTTATTATCTTGTCAAGAAAAAAAATGCGTTGGCGATAAAAAATCATAAATAAGGTATACTCAGATGGTATGTTAGATTTATTACCGTAAATTACTGTATAGAATACCCCCCCTAATAAAATACCCCCCATATATTGTACCCAGGTATATATTAAAGACATCATTCCAAAAAATTGATTAAGATCCGGGTTTATATTATACCTTAATAAAAATTTGAATTTATTTAAACTAGTATTAATAAAGAAAATTAAAAAACCTAATTATTAATTCCAATCATTGATATAACTAAGTTGATTAGCTTCATAAAACTCATTTTCTTGATTATTTTCTACATTTTTTTCCAAATTTAAAAATTTATCAATAGAATTTTCTTCATCTCTGCTAGATCCTTCACCATTATTATTACTAAATTCAGCAATTATATCAAAAGATTCTTGATTTTGTAATCCAACTCATTCATAATCAAAAATAATTGATCTTCTTTTTCATCTTGAGAATATGAAATGCCACAAACTTTGAAAGATTTTTGAATAAGAAAGAAATCAACTCAGTTCCATGCATCACAAATCCATTAGGCAATTAAATTGTAAGATGGGCATTGAATTTGACCAGTTTTGGTATAGTTTTTGACACTATTAGACATCCATTCATTATAGTAATGACAAACCTACAAATAAATTTAAATAAATTTGTATAATTTTATTTAATATATAATTTAATTTATAAATAGATACCTTTACTTTAAATAATTTATTGATAGAAATATCCAAAGGTTGAATTTTAGAAGTTAATCCACCTGGAATGACAGCAATAGTTATATTTTTTTTCTCTAAAATAACAAGTAACCAAATTAATAATATGGTCCAAAAAAGAATTCAAAACCAAAAGAGAATGAGAATCAATTAAAAATTTTATGTGCTGATTTCATATATTTTCAATCCAAAAAATTATCTCTTCTTCATTCAACCAGTCTGTTGGATTCACTCTTATAATTACACCTAAAGGGAATTCTTACTGTGGTACTTTTGATAATTTAAAAATTATCATTGGAGGTAACTTTGTTCCATCTGTCATACATGTTAATACAACAGTAAAGCATGATTTTTCATATTCACATATTTAAATTGACATTATATATGTATCCATTTCATCAACAGTGCTATTGGATGGCAAGTCAAAAGACAAAGAAGTTTCATCCATATTGCTGATTAGATTGAGAGAAAAATTGTATAATATTCTTTTGTGAAGAACAAAGCTAAGAAACTCTTGCTGTTTTTCAATAAGATCATGAGATAAATGTTATGCTATTATAGTATGACACCAAAGACTGAAATTGTGATGGCTCATAAATTCATCAAGCCATTTACTGGAAAATACAAAATTATTAATGTCTGAATAGACACTAATATATTTGGATTTTTTTACGTGTAGTTGAATCAAATGTTGGGATACTGGTTTTTGTTCTTTCCTAAGTTGCTTAACCCACTCACTCAATTCATTTTCTAATAAAGGATATTTTTCTGGCTGACCAATATTCAACTATTTTACATGTGGAGAAGCTTGCAAAAGTTCTTGTTTTTTTTGGCACCAGACATGGATTTGCTTGGGCTTAATATTAAATATAGTTGCCATAGCACGAATACTTTGTGTGGGTTGCTTTTCAAGATAGGTTAAAATTGTGAGCTTTTCTCGTGTATTCCAATGATGTTTCTTTTTTTGAGTAATTTGGGCATGGATAGCCTTTTTATTAGCTCTGGGATGCATATTTACTGAAAAAAGTATTGAATATATTAAAGGTATCAAAAAAAAATTAACCATTGAATATGTCAGAAAAAAAGAAATTATTGAATGTGTCAAAAAAAAGATAAATTGTTGAACGTGTCCAGGTAAATCATTTTGCGATCTGAATTGAACATGTGATTTTCTTATATTATCCTCTTGTGTATCCCCCCTTTTGTGTGCCCACTATTATACACAGTACCTCCCGGGATACACAAGCATTTATCAATGCCAAAATTGATTTAGACTAGTGCTCCGAAGGGGTCGAATTGGGTCGGGTTTTGGACATATTCGTATTCGACCCGAGTATAAAAATTAAAATATA